AACTGTCCTGGCATGCCTCTACTCTGAAACATCAGCTTCGTTAACACATGCCCCTTCTCTGTTCTTATTCTTTTACAAGACGCCCATAAGCTTCACCTGTTTGTGGTAAGGCGCTGCAAACGGGGGTCCGCCTGTCTGCTTTTTTGTGAACGTCACACTCTTACTCGTCTCTCTAGCTCCTCGCTTTTTGCCGTTCTTAAACAGCTACGACAAAACTCCAACACATCCTTTTGCACACATTTTAAACACAAAACACAAAGATTGGCACAAAATAAAATGCTTAATAACGCAAGAAGTAACATTAATAAATGGACCCTTGTTGTAAAGTGCTACAAAATGTTTTTGTACTTGGTTTAATTTCATCAGAATTCTCATATTATGATGATGTGTTTTTCGTCCCTCCCGAGTCTTTAGGGATGTTCTGGCTGAACATAGTGTGATTAGCTGTAATCCCTGATAGCATCAACAGGGATGGGATTGAATGAAGTTAATGGTTAATGGCGCAAACTGATTTGATCCAGTTCCAGACGGGGACAGCATTTAGATTGTTTTTAGTGCTAGACGAGACCCTTACAGTGGATTTGTCCTCCTACTTTGGGATTTAGCTTGCAGCTGATTTGCCTCGGTATCTTTTTGTCCAGGTTCGTGTTAACCCGGCCCCAAAGGGGTAACATGAGTTAAGCTGCCTGTGGACTGTTCTAGGACACACCCTGGCCTACAATAAAGGACGTTTTAAGCTTGAAAGTTTACTATTGTACATTTTAAACTCTTCCTTTTGAACATTGCAGGTTCACGTCGTACAGATGTGAAGGAAAACCAAAATTTGGACAAGTTCTCCTTCAAAGTGGATGTAGTCAAACTCTCCAGTAAGAAGGCTGGGTGTGGAAGGAAGCGGCCTTTAGAGGAGGGCAACAATGGCCACAAACCTTCCAACTACAAGCCAAAGAAGCACAAGAAGGTCTCTGGACCCTCTCTGACTAAGAATGCACTGGTGCAGCTGAATGAGATCAGACCCGGGCTGCAGTACAAGCTGCTGTCTCAGACCGGACCCATCCACGCTCCTGTTTTTGTGATGACTGTCGAGGTCAACGGGCAGCTCTTTGATGGCTCAGGACCTACCAAGAAGAAGGCCAAGATGAAGGCAGCCGAGAAGGCTCTGTGTTCTTTCACCCAGGTCCTCAGTGCACCTGATGCCCACTTGGCCGTGAGCCGGACTCGACCCGTTCTCACAGACTTTACCTCAGATGAGGCCGACCTGCCCAGCATGCTCTTTAATGCTTTTGAGACATCAGTCCCTGTAGATGTCTCGCTTTACCTGGCCTCATCCAGCTCCTTCTCATTTCTGGGGGAAAAGTGTCCTTTCCCATGTTTCCCTACATCAAACCAGCTCCAATCCCCCAAACCCCCAGAACCATCCCCCTTCTGCTCCCCCACAGGTGGCAAAAATCCTGTCATGATCCTCAATAAGATGCGGCCAGGCCTCAAATATGATTTTGTGTCAGAGAGCGGGGAGAGCCATGCCAAAAACTTTATCATGTCGGTGAGCGTTGGTGCTCAGACCTTCCATGGATCTGGACGGAACAAAAAGCTGGCTAAGGCTCGGGCTGCACAAGCGGCTCTGTCTGCTGCCTTTAACGTGCAGCTTGACCAAGCTCCGTCCCAGCAGCCCATACCCAGAGAGGGAACACAGCCTCACCTGCCTCAGGTAAGCTTGGACCATGGCAGGACTCAGATTCATCCATCCTTCCTGTCATTGATTGTACTGTTCATGCCCCACCCATGAGTCTAGGACCATGTCCACACTCATCTACTGCTGTGTCCCTCTCAAAGGACACGCTGGTCTTCACATGAAGACAAACTGCTTCATGCACACTCACAACAGACGAACCTAACCACCATCACAGTCCCTAACTCAGTCCGCTGAAGCGCTCTGCCCTTCACACCCCTGAAGAATAATATTAAAACGAGGAGGAACTTGTTGTCTTTGTGACTGATATTAACAAAGGTCAGTCCTGATGTCTTCTCTGGTTTCTTTAATGTCCTGCTCTTGCTTAGGTCCTGGCAGATATCGTCTCTCGTTTGGTTCTGGGCAAATTCAGTGAGCTGACCGATAATCTCGCATCTCCATGTGCTCAACGGAAGGTGCTGGCAGGGGTTGTCATGACGACAGGTAATCTGATTTAATGAATCCTAAGGAACTAACTGAATCCGAATCTCACAAAGGCCAGATGTAAGAATTTCAAAAAGCTCGAGGATCAACTGCTTTAGACAGTTCCAACGTTAAAAACCCACACAGCTGCAGTAATCACAGGGAACTGGCCAAGCCACACATGCATGAGCGGGTCCCAACTCCACATAATTATTATGTCTGCGACTGTGCCACAAATCCAATGTCCCCGAGGAGAAACTAGTTTTATTTACTATTTCTGTATTCTGACCATTTACCAGGTTTTCACTAAACTCTATCCTGATTAGTGATTTTACACCATGTTCATGCAGAGGTGGAAAACGAAATTACATTTGAGCTCATTACAGACAGCTCACATAGGAGGTAGTAAAGTATGGGTAAAATAAAATAACAAGGCTAAGTGTCACAAACAATCTCTCTCTCTCACACACACACACACACACACACACACACACACACACACACACACACACACACACACACACACACACACACACACACACACACACACACACACACACACTTAAAATGTAAAAGTATTAATGTAAACATGGTAATAAGACAAGTTTAAACAACAAACAGAAAAATAAACATAATATAAATGTAAACAGTCACGTGTTGAGGTTTCAGGGTTAACTAGCTACACGTAAAGGAGCTGTAGTGCACTAATGTCCAGCAGGATCACTGTTAGTGAGACCTCCTAGCAGCAACACTCAGTTCAGTGATGCTCTTGTATAAACGCTGTTTAACATCCTGCTGGTGTGTGTTTTTACTGCCCTGCATCCTTTAACAGACAGAATGTGTGTTTTTACTGCCCTGCATCCTTTAACAGACAGAATGTGTGTTTTTACTGCCCTGCATCCTTTAACAGACAGAAGTAGAGACGGTTAGCATTCAGAGCATCATTCATGAGCATGTGATATTTTACACGTAAAGAAGGAGGTAATAAAACGTCATTTCCTGCCTCAAGTGGAGGAGTTTAAGTATCTCTGGGTCTCTTGTTCACGAGTGAGGGGAAGATGCAGATCGATAGGCGGATTGGTGTTGTGTCTGCAGTGATGCGGGCAAGTACCGGTCTGTTCTGTGAAGAGAGAGCCCGAAGGTAAAGCTCTCGATTTAGTGGTCGATCTACGTTCCTACCCTCACCTATGGACACGAGGTCACGGATACAAGCAACAGAAATGAGTTTCCCCCACAGGGTGGCTGGGCTCTCTCTTAGAGATAGGGTGAGAAGCTTGGTCATCCGGGAGGGGCTCGGAGTAGATCCGCTGCTCCTCCACATTGAGAGGAGCCAGATGAGGTGGCTCGGACATGTACGTGAATTTTTGGTAGAAACTATAAACTGGATCTATATTTTGTCTCTCTTTGACCTTTGACACCACACAAGATGTTCTTTTGAAATAGTTTTTGTCTGACTTCTGCATTTAATGTCTTTCTCTGCTCTAGCTGATTTTTCTACAATTAACTAGTTTTACTTTCATTGTATCAGTTTTCTTTATATAATACTTTGTTTTAGACTTTTATTCATATTTATTTAGTTTTCACTTGCTTGTTTTAGACGTGATGCTGTCATGTTTTATTGTATCATGTTGTTTCACAGCACTGTGACTTTATAGTACTTAAAGTACCTTATCAGTAAAGTTGGACTGGGATCGGATTGGTTTCCTCACCAGGTACGGATCTGAAGGAGGCTCAAGTCATCTGTTTGTCCACGGGGTCAAAGTGCATCCGTGGAGAACATAGGAGCCATCGGGGTTTGGCTCTGAACGACTGTCATGCTGAGATCTTAGCTCGGCGTGCTCTCATCAGGTTCCTGTACTGCCAGATGGAGCGCTTCCTCAGGTGAGGCCTGAAAAAGGGCCCCCTGTGACCCACAGTAGACATCAGCCAGTAAACATTTTACATTGTTCAGTCTCAAGACGAGATCTTTCTCTGTAGCATCTTAATGAGACTGTTTTCAGATTCCAGAAAACCCAAATGCTGCTGATCTTCTGAATGTTTTAATATAGCACAGACAAAAAGGAGCAGCAGGAATCCATCTTTGCGAGATGTGAAAACAAAGAAGGCTACAGCCTGAAGGACAAGGTCCAGTTCCACCTGTACATCAGCACCTCCCCTTGTGGAGATGCCCGGATCTTCTCCCCCCACGAGGCTGGACTAGAACGTGAGTGAGGGACTCCACCAGGGTCTCAGGGTTAGGCTTGAGCTGTTCATCCTTGCTGTGTGTTTCTTCAAACCCCTCAGAAGAGAACCGACTCCCAAATCCTAAGGCCCGTGGGCAGCTTCGTGTGAAGGTAGACTCTGGTGAGGGAACCATCCCTGTGAGCTCCAGTGACTCCATTCAGATGTGGGATGGGGTTCAGCAGAGGGACAGACTGCTCACCATGTCCTGCAGTGACAAGATGGCCAGGTCTGTGCTCTGTTCACGACTTTAGACCTGAATGCTGCTGTTCATGTAGACCTTCAGGTTCACATATATCTGCTAGAACTAGAATTTGAGTCCTTTCATTTAAAGATGCTGATTCATCTTTGCCGTTTTCCTCAGGGGCCTCTGTTCTAGACTCATCAGACCTTGTGACTAGCTTTCATCAGGCTTCTGATCCATCACCAGGAAATCCCTCAGAGCTAATGTTGATCCGACCTGATTTGTGTTTAAATGATTTTGTCTCTTTCTTTCAGGTGGAACGTTGTTGGGTTCCAGGGTTCTTTGATGAGCTACTTCACTGAGCCTCTGTACTTCTCCAGCATTATCCTGGGAAGCCTGTACAATGCAGACCACCTCTCCAGGGCCGTGTACCAGAGGATCTCTGAAATCCAAGCTCTTCCTCCATCGTTCAGCCTCAACAAACCACTTCTCAGTGGTGAGCAGCTGTCACTTCCTCTCATCTGTCGCCTGCTTTTGTGTCTGGCATCAGGACATTCACTAGCAGGGTGTTCTGTTGGCCACAGCCCAACAGGCTTTATAAACTTTAAAACATTTTGACGAATTTTTGGCTTCACCTTTTCTGTTCTCATCGTGGACTCATCAACTGTTGGCTCCTTTGTTAAAAACAGAGAATGAAGTAAAATTTGATGTTCTGTAGGTATAAGTAACACAGAAACTCGTCAACCAGGAAAAGCACCAAACTTCAGCGTGAACTGGACGGTCGGAGACCAAGGTGTAGAGGTGATTAATGCCACCACAGGGAAAGATGACCTGGATCAACCCTCCAGACTCTGCAAGCATAATCTGTATGGTCGCTGGATGGGCCTGTATGCCAAGGTAAGACACTACTACTACTACTACTACTACTACTACTACTACTACTACTACAGTGATCCCTCGTTTATCGCGGTAGATGCGTTCCAGACCTGGCCGTGATAGGTGAAAATCCGCGAAGTAGGGACACCACATTTACAGTATTTATTTAACAGGTACGTATTCAGTATTCATACTTTTAAAACCCTCCCTTTACATAGAAAACATTTTTACTTGTTTTTTTTATAGTTTTATTACAAAAAGTGCATTTTATGATGAACTTGATGAAAAAAAACAGGAATTTCTTGACATTTCGCATAGAAAAATACCGCGAATCGGCGAATTTCCCTTGAATAAGGCTCCAAAGAAAAAATCTGCGAAGCCGTGAATCCGCGATAAACGAACCGCGAAGTAGCGAGGGATCACTGTACTACTGCTACTACTACTACTACTACTACTACTACTACTACTACTACTACTACTACTACTGCTACTACTACTACTACAGTGATCCCTCGTTTATCGCGGTAGATGCGTTCCAGACCTGGCCGCGATAGGTGAAAATCCGCGAAGTAGGGACACCACATTTACAGTATTTATTTAACAGGTACGTATTCAGTATTCAGACTTTTAAAACCCTCCCTTTACATAGAAAAAAATTTTTACTTGTTTTTTTTATAGTTTTATTACAAAAAGTGCATTTTATGATGAAATTGATGAAAAAAAACTGGAATTTCTTGATCTCCGCATAGAAAAATACCGCGAATCGGTGAAAAATACCACGAATTGGCAAATTTCCCTTGAATAAGGCTCCAAAGAAAAAATCCGCGAAGCCGTGAATCCGCGATAAACGAACCGCGAAGTAGCGAGGGATCACTGTACTACTATTACTACTACTACTACTACTGGTACTAGGGCTGGGCCGTATCATACCTCTCATAGTAATACCAGTACAATGTTAGGCAATGATAAGAAAATGCAATATCGCAAAGGAATATGAGTAAAACGTGCATGCACAGTGCCTTTATTTTCATACTCATACGCACATGGCAGAAAAAGCATGGTGACAGCGGAGGAGAAGGTTGAAGCGGCTCGTTGAATGAAACAGAAGAACCAGAATTGGTTTGTAAAAAAGGTGTTTCAGTGGTGTGGAACTGGTTTGGTTTTCGCCCGTCGGATTCCCAACAAAGCACAATTTTTGTAGAACACGCTAGCGGGCTGTCGTGGTGAAGGGATGAAAGATCACAAACCTGTTTTGTCATTTGAAGCAGAAGCACTTGTTGGAGTACCACAAAGCTGTTAAAGCACGTGGCGAGGTGCCCGCTTCATCAAGCGTGGTGGTGAGACCAAACAAGCTGACTCGACAAACAACTGGCGTAGTTACAAATAGCTGCACACTTTTTGACAAAGGTAGCAAATGCTGGGGGGAACTAACTAACGCAGTGATAAATTGTTTAGCCAGGGATTTGATGCCCACTCAGAGTGTGGAAAGAGACGGTTTCATAAAGATCGTCGTCAACTTTATTTATAAAGCACTTTTCATCAGCTAGGAGGCAAACCACAGCGCTGTACGTGAAAAGATGCTTGAAACATTTAATTCACGCTACAAGCTGCACATCAAGAAATACTTCTCTAAAGTTGCCTTGCCTGCTTTATATGAAGAGCTCTGTGCTGATGTGTGAAATGCATTATCTTTGGCGGAGTTTTTTGCGTCCACCACGGACACGTGGTCAAGCCGAACATCAGACCCCTATGAGAGCCTCACAATACACTACGTGGACAAAGACGGGAAACTACAAAACAAGTGCCTTGAAACAAGTTTTTCACTGACAACCACACTGTGGAAAATATAGTCAACGGCCTAAAAGAGTTCCTCAGCTCGTGGAATCTTCCGGAAGAAAAACAAGTGTGTGTGACGACAGACAGCGGGGCCAACATTGTGGAAGCCGTCAGATTAAGCATATCTTGCATCAGTTGAAATGATAGTAATAATACTGTTTTGTGTTGGTAATCTTTAATTGGCCCCCTCCATGAGAGAATCTGTTTACAGAACAGAAACAGCAGGAAAAATCATTGGTGCCCAACTGCCCTCTGTCCAGGAACTGTACATCAGCAGGACCAGGAAAAAGGCAGTGAATATTGTCCAAGATGCCACACATCCTGCATCTACTCTCTTCCATCTCCTCCCATCTGGCAGACGCGATAGATCGCTGTACACAAAAGCTACCAGACACAAGAACAGTTTCTTTCCTTCAGCCATTTCTCTCCTGAATCTGTAGATTCTTTTACCATCCTTTTATTATAGTTTTTAATACTTAATCAGTATGCTTGTGGATATGTGTGTGTATGTGTGTGTGTGCGTGCGTGCGTGTGTGGGTATGTATAAATGTATAAATGTGTGCGTAAATGAACATGTGTGTGGGTATACATGTTCTTATGTGTTTTTAGGTATTTTTATTCTCATTTATTGTGGTTGTTGTATGTTTTAGAGAGCGAACATCTACCGAAGACAAATTCCTTGTAAATGTACTTTTATTTGGCCAATAAATCTAAATCTGAAAATCTGAGAAAGAAAAACAGAACAATGCAGTAGTCGTCTTCACCTGGAGAGATTGCACATGTAGGTCGTAAACTGGCTTATGACTAATTAAACCTTATTTGTGTGTGTGTGTGTGTGTGTGTGTGTGTGGGGGGGGGGGGGTTCACAAAGAAAGTTAATTGGAACCATTCCAGTACCATTTCATCTCCACTGTGCTGTTGGATGCTTTGCCATTAACAAGATCTGGAGACTTTCTCCAAAACGATGGATGTTGCTCAAATGTTGGTTAGGAATTGGAAGAGGAACTGGGATGGAGGTTTCTTGTTGAGCATGATGCTGACTTTGATCCCACTGTTAAAACTGGGTTTACTCATTTATCAATACTATCACCGTTCTAAGTGTCATCCTGCAGTGAAGTAGTGTTGATGAGGTCCTATAAGTGACCTCCCCTGCCTGTGTCTTTCAGCTGTCCTCCACGATGCGAATCCAAAGCGTTCAACCCAGCAGCTACCACCAGGTGAAACAGGCAGCAGCACACTATCAGTCTGCAAAGCAAACACTCTTCAGAACCTTTCACAGAGCTGGACTTGGAGCCTGGGTGAAGAAGCCTACAGAACTGGACGAGTTTTCTCTCTGACTTAGTTCTGGTCCTGAACTGGAGGAACACGTTCACCTTTGACTGTCATGGACCGAAACTCCCATGGATTCCAGATGCATGGTGACCGTGTCTAAACAAGAGTGTGGGACATGTTAAATACTGAAAGGTTGACAAAATGTCAGCATCAAACCTAAAAAGTTTAAAATGTTCAGATCAAATCAAATAGTATTTGTAGAGCACTTTTCCTGATAAAATCAGCACAAAGTGCTTTATATTAAAAATATAAATAAAAAATAAACTGCTTTCACACATCAAAATGACATAACTAGTTAAAACTTTTTTTTCACATACCCTAACCCTCACCCTGGACACAACGAAAAATGAGCTAAAATATTCTAATATATTAAAGAAAAGCCAAGGTAAAAAGGTAAGTCTTGGTGACTAAGGATCTTTTTAAACTTAGAAAATATTTAAATGCACTCAGAAAACATTTTCTCTATGAGATAATCCATCTAAAAAGTTACTGTATCTGACCAATTACTGTGAAATAAGACTGAATATTATTAATATAAAGCTGAAAAGATTGAGTCACAGCATTTAACGACCAGGTTTTCATCAGGAAATTTTTATTTTAATTGTTTGTTTTTGAAAGTGAGGAACCCACAGAGGAACACAGAAGTCCAGCATCTTCAGCTCGTCTGCACAAACGTTTCGGCTTCAGACCTGCAAACCAGCAAAGTGACCCCAGATATCTGATTTATCGACGCAAACGTGCTTCAAACGCACTAGACGCGCGCGCGCACACCCTGCATTGGTGGTACGGTCCGGAGACCTTACTACGTTGCTAGGAGACGAAGAATGCTGGAGAACTAGAACTTAAGCTCTTCTAGAACTCAAGAGTTCTGCGTTTTGGTTCTAGCTCCGTTCGGTGTCTGGTTCCGGTTCGGTTCTACTCGTGGTTGTGTTCGGGACCTGGAGGTCCTGTCCACTCAGAACACCGTTCTGGACTTTTCACACGTGAGGAAAGTCAACGTAAAAAGCACGGAGCTAACGGAGCCTTCTAGAACCGCCCTCGCGGCCGAACCGTGGAGGAGAACCCGGTTATTACCGGGCTAGGACACGGTACGACCCCCACCGCCAGGTAAGTGGTGATGACGCAGCAGGGGAGTGGCTGTTTCCTCGAGCTGCACGCGCACAGGCAGAGCCGCGTATCACACCTGGCTTGGCTCAGGCTACGGAAATAACACGTTTGGGTAGCTACCAGGCCGGCCAGAACCAATCCCAGCCTGTGCGTGTGGGGGAGGAAGCACAGGTGAGATGGGGAACAGCTTCACACAGCGCAGAGGCTCCAGGGAGGAGGAGCAGCGTGGAAAAGACCAGATTCCAGAAATCAGTGTGATCCAAGCCTCGCCGCTTCCTGTTCAAGGATCCATGTTCATCATGCCTGGTCCCGAACAACCCGGACCAGAACACACTGGACTCAGGTCCACAGAGAGACATGCTGGGATAGAGGGACAGAGGCCCAAAGTATCAGAGCATGCTCAGGTGAGCCCTGCTTCCATGGAGGAGGAGTGCGAGGATGGGGGTGACGAGTCCCTCTTTGTGTCGGACACAAGGAGTCTGTCTGGGAGCGAAGACACCCCAAGGTGCAGCCGGAGGCACTTCTTAGAGGTGATGATGAGCACCTCCCCTGAGGTGAGACATAACGTAGACCTGCGTGGTTCGCTCTACCTGTCCAGGAGCAGCAGTGACTCCCAGGTTTTCAGTAACATGGAGGACGACAGGACATCCGTGGCCCTGGACCCGCTGGAACACGAGTGGATGTTGCGTTCCCCTGATGGGGAGTGGAACAGCCTGCACCGCCTACTCATCGCAGAACCCAGTCTCGCTGTGAGGAAGGACTTTGTTACTGGTTTTACCTGCCTTCACTGGGCCGCTAAGCTGGGCCGCCCAGAGCTGATCGCCCTGATCATGAACTTCTCCAGGCAGCACGATGTTCCCGTCAGCGTGGATGTTCGATCCAACAGTGGATACACGCCACTCCACATCGCCGCTATGCACAGACACCTGGAGGTCCTGAAGCTCCTGGTTGGTGCCTACAACGCAGATGTGGAGGTCCGAGACTACAGCGGGAGGAAGGCCTTCCAGTACCTCACTGGTGGTGTGAGTGTGGACATACAGGACATTATTGGGGCTTACGAGCAGTCCAAGTCCGAGTCTCCTGATCGCAGGGTTGGAGGTCGCTGGAGGTTCTCTAAGGTTCTCCACACTAACCTGGACTTCCCCCGGCTGCTGGGCACCACTGACTCTCTGGATGGGGAGGACCAGCACGGGGAGAAACTTGTCAGGAGGAGGTCCTCCCTCAGCAGGATGAAACCCAAACTGGAGAAGCTCCGCCGGAGGACGTCCCAGATTGTCCACAGCACTTCACATCATGACCAGGAGAAACTGGAGGGTTCCAAGAAAGGCTTCTTCAAGTCCAGACCCAACACACACTTCTTTGGCTGAGTTTCAGTGACACAGAACTGCACCGTGAAAGATTTTCAAGATGGTTTTGATTAGTGACTCTACATTTTAATGGGATGTTTACAGAATCGTTTCATCACCAGATGTCCTCAAACTGATGAGATCATCACATTTATGGAAATCAGAACCATGAGCCAGTGGAGGGCTTTCTGAGCAGCTCCAACCAGGCCTGTTATCAGCTGACACTGAAGCCTTTAGAACGGTAATCTGGATTACAGCTGACCTGCTGTCCTGTCAGCTGGAGGTGCCTGTTGGTCTGATCTGCTTCACCAGTCTGGACCAGCTGCTGTGTGGATCCGAGTGGAGCCTTTGGAACACACAGAACCGGTTCATGGTGTCAACAACATGCTGCCTCATGCTCCAGCTCAGCCCCACCCTCAGAACACTTCACAAAGGACATGGCTGCATTTAAGCTCACGAGGCTGGCGGTTGTGTTAATCAGCTCCACGTGTTTCATCAGGTTTCTTACTGAACAAAAACTGAAATGATCCAATCATAGTTTATGTATTTAGCAGACATTTTTGTCCAAAGCGACTTACAAGTGATAACGAAGACAGCAGGTTGCCTTTGAGGCCAACAACAAACACGAATCAGCCGATCCTAGGAGGCAGTGAAGCAGCAAAATCCATCATAGAGGGAAGTGAACCAGGAGTGGACAGTAGAGTGGGGGACGGGGGATCTTATTCCGAATTACATCTTATTAACACAGCAGGACAGATTTCCAGTTCATTTTAGGTTCACTGAATAAACCTGACCCTGTGCGTCTGATAGACGTGTCGGTGTTGTTTTCTAATCGGGTTTGAGTTGTCTACCAATCCACCGTGTGTCTACACGCACATTAATATTTTCATTATGCAAGCCATTCAGGAAGTATTCTATTTATATCGGGCTAATTCTGAATATATGAAATAAAACTGATATCAATAAAGTTGCAACATTTTGACTTGTAGTTTTATATTTGTGTGTAAATATAGTTGTTTCTGCAGAGGTCTCCTATCTAGAACCACTAGAGAGACAACACACACGAGTTATGACGATGGGTTTTATTCATTGTTACAAACTTGTATCGGAACCAGACCTATAATAGATTAAACAGGAAGTTGTGACTAATAAACCCAGAGCTATGGGTCAGGGATCATCAGTCGCTCCCCCCACTTTGCCTTAAACACACACTCAAACTGGAATGGCACTGAAACCAGAACACCCAGTGTGAACTTTAGGCTCAGCTGCAAAACTGACTAGGTAGGTAAGCTACCTTTCAGTGGAATAGTTGATTCTCTCAGACCCACGCAGGTTGTTCTGCAGCACAATTAGACAGGAAGGAGCATAGATTTGTCATTGTGTATGCTGAATATTTTAGTTTTGGCTAAATGACAGAATTGTTTTGAAGATGAAATTTAAAGCAAGTCTTTATTAAAATGGCGTTTGCTGGTTTAAGGGAATTTAGCTGCTCACCTCTAAACACCTGAACCTCAGATATTTGTTTTTATGATTTGCGGTCGGAGTCTCTCTAGACGACACATCCTCACAATACTAAGAATAAATACAGAATTAAATTAAAAATAATGGAAACAAAATTCTAAAGATTTTTAGACAGCTGCTCGGCTGGAAGTGGCACAAATTGATGTGTGTATTTTAAAAAATTGTAATCTATTTTTTCCTCATTTTCTGTTTTTCTACCTAAATTATTTAAAGCAGTTTTATTTAGTTTTAATTAGTAGATGAATTTCCTTCTCTAATAGGTAGAAGTCTCTAAGACTCCTCCCTTTTCGGTCGGCTCACGGGTCCCTGGAAATAAGAAAAGATGAATGCAGTTCAACGACACTATAAAAGTTATTTCTTATCCCGTTTGATGTGTGCCGTGGATTTAAAAACACATTTTGATGCCAAGGAAGCGCTCATTGTCGAATGGCGGCAAAAGTTAGTTCAGGTTTTCTGTGAAAATACGTAACAGACTACAAATGTTCGTCTCACCAAATTGATGTCATCAAACCAGACACGGAAAACAGGAGAAGTTTAGTTTACCAAGCTTCCAGTCCTTCCAGATGACAAAAGGAGCAACAAATAAAGAGAAAACCGTTATTAATCAGGTCATGTGCTAGCAGCTACGCTGGGGGAAGAGCTTCAGCAACATCTGATTTGTAGTCTTTTTAATTACAAATATTTACAAGCTAATAACTCTTAAACTGCGTGACAGACATTGTTGAAACACACTTTATTACTTTTAATTCAAATGGAAGGACTACATATGTGTGACTCAGGGCGTAAGGCTAAGTGGACCAGAAAATAGCTTTTATAGTCCCGTTCACCCATGAGCCGATCAGAAGGGGAGGAGCCTTGGGCTCCCAATACTTGCCCTCAGCATTTTCTCAAGCATCTCACAAGCTTTTACACTTGACTAGAGAACGAGGAAGAATTGGAAACATTAGCCAGTCACTGGGTTTATGATCAGTGTGGTTCAGGGGAAAGCCAGGAGGCCAGGTGTGTCACACACAGTCAGGGCTCCAAGATGGATTCTCCAGCATCACACTCCAGGGACCAGTGGGTTTTGAGCAGAACTGGAGAGAGAGCTGTGAATATTGATGAAGACAATGGAGCTGCAGTTTGCAAACTCACCCCCACCGTGGTATTTATGTTTATGTTTATTATGTTTATTTATTTGGCAGACGCTTTTATCCAAAGCGACCTACAATTGATAACCTGTAGGGCATGTTGTGATCTGTGGGGGAAACTGGAGTACCCGGAGGAAACCCACGCATGCATAGGGAGAACACGCAACTCCACGCAGAAAGGCCGCAGCCGAGCCGAGTTTCGAACTTGCAACCTTCGTGCTGCGAGGCAACAGTGCTAACCACTGCGCCACCATGCAGCCCATTTCATTACTGCCTTCGCCTAAGGTTAGTTTCTTTGCCTTTGAAGTCAGATTTTCGGTACCATCAATAGAGCTATAGGCCGTGGAGGTTTAAGGCACACAGGAAGCAGCTGTGTCTGTACGAGCTACCGAGCAGCATTCTGAGTGTTTGTAATGACATTTCAGCTAACCAAACAGTTTCTTGATGACTAAAGTATGACCTCTGTAGGTTTTCATTAATGTGGCATCGTTTAGTTCCTAACACATGACCCATTCCAAGTCAGGATGGAGATTCAGCAGGATCTGTTTTTATAATAATAATAGATAGATGTTTTCAGACGCTTGCTTTAATGTTCTGAGCAGTATGTTTTAATGCCAGATTTCTATCAAACAACACACAGCTCTACCAGGCCACGCTGCTTTTATGCTATTAAAAACAGGAAGTGCTGGTTTCTTCATTTCAAACGTTGACTGAATACAACTGAACCTAGTCAAGTCACAGTAATGCACTTGTGAGAAGAAGGATGGAGACTTTCAGACAATAGTTCAGCATCATCTTCAGTGCCTCAGATGATGAGGCAGACTGATGAAGATGATGAAATCTGATGTGACAATCCCACCAGGCAGCATCAGGTCTCCTGAAGGCCGACAAGCTCGCAGCTCTTTTTCCACAGCTTGGCCTGCAGCTCAGCGTCATAGGACAGGTCAGAGGACTGCGTCTTGAGGCCGTTGTACAGGTAACAGCCTCCCACCCCCTCCAGCTCAGTGGCAGCAGCAGCATAGATTAATATGGAAGCTCCCTCTGCTGGAGACTGGGGGTGACACAAGAACACGGTTACTGTGAACCACACAATGCTGTAACAGAAATATTGTCTAATAAATACATCAGAACTGAGGTTATTTTATAACTTGTATCTTCAGCAAACAGATCAAGTAACTTAAAGGGACTTTACAGACTTTTGAATTTGTATGCTCGTGATTGCCCCCTCAGGCCAAAAGCGTAACGGCAGCTTCAATAGGAGGCTCGTGCACCAGGCGTGCATGCTGTACGTGCACACTCAACGAAAATAACAGCTGAGACAGTCCCTTGTGTGTGTGTGTGTGTGTGTGTGTGTGTGTGTGTGTGTGTGTGTGTGTGTGTGTGTGTGGCCCAGAGGACAGAAGAACGCACAGCTAATTAATTAAATAATTTGGTTCTGTACCTTTCTCTTCAGCACAGCTGACAAAGGTTTATGATGGGTCAGTCCTCCTGCATGCTCAGACCATTCCCTTCCCTTGCTTGAAAAATTGTTCCAAAATTAAAGTTGAACCCACATCTTTTTTATCTGTGAATTCAATGCCGTTCGGCGAGTCTCAAATAAAATTTGGGCATCTTACTGTAAAAAAAATACCATTAATGAAAAAAAGAAACTCTAAATAAACTATGTTCACATCCAGAATCGCACCCAGGTCTTCTGCATGCGAGTCGGACATCTTACACGGTGAGCTACACACCAGCAACATTCATAGCATTTGTAACTTTTATATCCTTTATGACACCTGAAACAACGTCAAACCAAAGAACAGTTCAAAGCGAAAATTGCTATTTTGTTGCTAATTTGCAGGAAATATCTAGATGAAAGTAGCTAAGGGTCCTCAGAAATGTAGCTAGGTTCATCACTAGGTGTTAGGAACAGTGACAAAGTCGCTGAGTTGGCACTACCTCTCTCTGCTGCTAAAGCTACGGATAGCAAATGCTAAGGGCTATGAGAGTGACCGAGCAGCCTGCTCGACCCGAGCAGCTCTCTTTTTCTGTGATTTTAGAGAAAAACAGGCAATCACAGTAAAAATGCCAGGGCTCATTCTACAGGACCAGGGCATTGCAGGAGAATGTATGAAGAAGACATTTATTATTTCTATACATGTTTTGGCTGTCAAACTTCCATAACGCACCTTTAAAGAGGCCTTTCACTGAAAAACCATTTTTACCTACTGTTTTTGAAAATGATCGGCCACTCAGAGCCTCCTACACCTATCTCCTGCATTAGCTACTGACAGAAAACAGACGGTGAACTTCTGGGATTAGAAAAGCCTGACAGATCTACGTCACACTGTCGTCCATCACGACGGGGAAGACCGTTTTGTTTTAGTGTCCAGGAAATAGCAGAGAATGCCTCGTTTAGTAGAAGCTAACTGTTAGCATTAGCAACTTCACCACATGGCAGGACTCCTTCATACTTGTGTTATTTGTGGAGATAAAACATCAAAGTTGCAAAGCAAACAGAGTCAGTGGTAGAGTCGTGTTGCTGTTAGCCAATCAGAGGCAAGATGTCCAAATATCAGGAAATAAGACTGAATCCTGTTGTCTGAAGCTACTTTTCCCCCAGCTGAATTCCCTGCTGAAACAGGTGCAGTTAAGCTTTGTTACTCGTTACTGTCCAGCTCAAAGCATTTTCATAACACAGAAAACATTTAATTTCAAGGATTTTGAACCCCTTGTCAGAACCCCGGCTCAACAGTAAAACCAGTCCTGCACCTGAGATATTTCATTAGATCTGGAATTAAAACGATGGGATTGGGATTGTTTTAAATTTGAGTGTTTAGTGTTATTGATGCTGCTGCAGAGATCCCACGCCTGTTGCATGTGAAACTGCTCCATTTCAAACAGAAGCAACATTCAGGTTCAAGTCATTTAAGTCTAAGTCACAAGCAGATATTTATAAGGGTCTGAAGTGCCACATGTGGCCCCAGAGCCGCAGCTTTCAGACCCGTAGTCTAAGACAGGTGTCGCGTTATGAAAAAAATAAATCATCAGTTGAGCTTTGATCTAATGGCCTAAGCCTTTCCCCCGGGGTCTCAACAGACTAGCGCAGGGTCCTTAGCTGTGGATTTCCTAATGTTTTCCAGAGCAACACACAACTCTAGGTTAGTGTGAGTCATGGAGGATGGCTGCTTATACTGAGCCGGGATTCTCTAGAGGTTTCTTCCTGTTAAAAGGGAGTTTTCCTCTCCACTGTCGCTGCATGCTTGCTTAGTATGAGGATTGCTGTATAGTCACTGACACTAGTCAGTGACTTGATGCAATTTGCTGGGTTCCTTATATAGGAAACATTATTTCTGATTGGCTTAATGAACTGTGAATTGGAATGTTTATTATGTGAAGTGCCTTGAGACGACTCTTGTCGTGATTTGGCGCTATATAAATAAACTTGAATTGAATTGAATAGTGAGGGCTGCTCACTCCCAGTCCATCATTGTGCTTGTAACTAAGGTATAGGTGAGTGTGCTCCATACTTTGTCTTTTTAAATCATATTAGAATGTTTTTTCTTTTTCGTTTTTATCTGTTTGGCCCAACTTTATTGTAATACTTGGTTCTGTTGTGTTTTTTATCTGGGAAAGGTGCTGCGTAAATACACTTTACTTATTTACTTCTTTTGGGAAGGCAGACCCTCCCGGTGCCCGTGGCCCTGTCTCAGGCTGACCTTGCAAGGCTCTGACCACCATATGTGTAAACTGACCATAAAGAACCTGTGTTTAGGTGAGACCGCTTTTATACACACCCTGAACAGGACCTTGGCTACTGGTTGTTTCAGCATCTTTGCAAGGGTCCAAAGGTTATCGTAGAGTGCCGTGTCCACCATCCCTGGGTCCACAGCGTTCACAGTCACAGGAGATCCACTGGCAGCCAGCTGTTCCTGAAGGAAGTAGGTGAAGAGGACCAGAGCCAGTTTACTCTGGGAGTAGGCAGCATGAGAACTGTAGCAGATCCTGGAGAATAGGGACGACGACACATTTAGATCAGAGCTGGAATGTCCTTCCTTTATTAGCTGACTTCCACATTCTCCTGTAAATCTTTACACCAAGTGAAGACACTTTAATTCTCGTTTCTGCACCTGGACCTCCCGTCTGACTCCTAGTGTCTGCTGCCTGCACTGCAGCTAGCTTCTGTCGTTACCGGTGAGCTTTAGCAAAGCTCCGCCGACTCCCTCGGTACGGGTAAGATCTGAATGTTTGTATTTACTTTAGTAGTTTTTATTTGACTCCCTTTGATGATTTTACAAAGCAAGGTGACTTTAGAACCCAAGGAATGATTATGCTCTCTTTATAATACAGTCTCATGTCTTGTGTCCACACCTCATGTTTAGGTCCTCCAAGTCCAGAACTCCTGCATAGTGAGTGGCAGAAGACATGTTGATGATTCTGGAGCAGCGGCCCGGCTGCCCTGACTTCTTCAGCAGGTCCAGCAGCAGGTTGGTCAACAGGAAGTGCCCAAGGTAATTGAGGCAGAAGTGGAACTCAAAGCCATCCTCTGTTGTTCTCTCAGGAACCAGCATGGTCCCAGCTAATAAAAGGACAGCAGATAAAAGACCAGTCTGGGTGCATCTTTGGTTTGTGTTCTCGTTCTGATGGGTTCATGCATTAAAAGTTGAATATGGAACATGAACACCACAGTGACATCTAGTGTGTGGAGGTTGTAATTGCAACAACAGAACAAGGTTTCCAGCCGTCGGGACACCAGGTTCTCTGCTGATATGAGAAATGATTTTATTTGGCTCCATCTGTTGAATGCTTCACCTAAACTCATTCTGGTTTTAGATCTTTTATGGTCGCCCCTCTTCTGAGAAGAATACTAACACCTTTGGGCTCAGAAGCAACTGCTTGAATTGCCGAGTCCACCATTTTGCACAGGGCCAACCTCGCTGTGCTGAGCGAACTGTTTGGCATTGACAACCCACAATGGTGGCCTCTATTGGCTGGTAGATGTAAACATAAACTCAGTGTTGTGTCCCTCAAAATAATAATTTTACTATTTTTAAAAAAAAATATATAGCTTTTAAAGGAAATACTCTACCTTCATTCTGCACACCTCTCAACGCCCTGTGGAGGTATTTCTATTTCAAATAAAGCTTTTTATTACATTGTTCCATATTCATAGCCTGGCCAGCCAGCCCCATGCTTCCTTATGGGAAGTATTGGATCTGGGAACTCTTCTATTTAAATAACCCCACCCCCTGAGAATTCTGACAGAGCCAATCAGCGCTGAGCAGCATAGGTCACACCGCAACGCTCAGTTCCTCATAAACAAGGATGATGGCATCTGAAGCGGAGTTTGCTGCGCCTCTGTCTTCTGTGCTAAAGAAAAGCCTTTCTTCCAAAGAAAGATGTCTGCGCCATCGCCAGACCCCGTTTTTCAGTACAGCTAAAAAACTACAACGTTGCACGGTACAGTTGGCATTTTCTCCTTTTTTCTGACTGGTTAGTTTTGAGCTGGCTAGTCCCGCCCCTCATATGCCTCCAGACTAGTTCTCCGTAGAATTAAACAGGACGAGTCTGGCAGGCCAGGCTACCATATTCAACCTTTAAAGCTAAAATAGAACATTTTTGGTGAAAAAATAGCTTTTAACCCTATATAAATAAATATATAATATAAATATAATGTGGAGATCAAAAAATAAATACAAAAGCAATAAAGTGGTTCTCTCACATTTGTCTAAAATCGTCCACAAAAACAAGTTTCAGACTGAAAGCAGCTATTGGGCCAGTGGGTTGTTGTTGGTCTCTCTGAACTGCCGCACTTCCCTGGGCCCTCCACTCATTACACACTCACATATTCATCAACAGAACACCACTGGTGTGAGGTTCTCCGCTCAATAACATCAGAGAAGGAGAAACAGCCGGCTGCTACCACAATGCACAGACCTAGTCTGGCTGTCCTACAGACATGGTCTGGACAGACGGACTTAATATAGACATGATCGGCACGTCCATGTGACGTTGACTGTTTGCAGGGTAGGAACATCTACCAGAGTCCCAAAAAGAAAAACATTTGAAGTCACGAACAACAAAAGGTTTGGACCTGGAAACCGGTGACTGGTGTTTAGCACCATCTCGTTCCATCCGGCAATGGGGGCTTTCAGTTCTGGTGTCGGTACTACATCTGCTGCCAGATCGGCTCGGGGTCCTGCGCCTGCTGATGATGTCACATTACTGAAAATCCACTCAGCTTTCACACTTACGTTTTGGAAAGACATCAGCAGTTTTGTTAATAAATTCTTGTTTGTTACCACCTAAATGTTTTCTTTATAATTGTAATTTGTTAATAAAGCACCATATTATCTTTGTTTTGTAAAGAATGTGAAACTGCATAAAACAACATCAGACTGCCAAAACACAACGGTTCTTATATGTGAAGCCACATCTGTTTGTATTAATGTGGAATTTGCCTGTAAATTTCCTTAGTTATGTAAATTCATTCATTCATTCAAAATGTTGCTTGGTGTCTTTTCAGTAAAGTTCTTTTATTTTATTTTTCCCCATTTCATCAAAATCAAGAGCTTTTGAGGGTCACAGTTTATCAGTTGATATCTTTTAACATTTCCTTAGAAAATTCTAACATATTTTCTCCGAAAAGTGTTGATTTTTGGACTACAGGACTACAACCACTAAAACTACAACCGTAAATTCATTCGGACCAATCAAAATCTTCATTATCAACGTGCTAATGTAACTTTTATGAACGTGGTATTATAACTTACGTAAGTCTTATTTTCAGCCAATCATCTACTGTGAAGTAATTTGCAGCCGATCTGGTACCGACACCGGCAGAAGATACCCGAGGAAGGGAGTGTTCTGTGACCGTGTTTGCATTCAAAACCTAATTTGTTGCAGAATCGTTATAACAGGTTTAAAGCCTCAGTGCAGTTCAGAATTTCGGCTATGGTAGCCCACATGTATCAAAAAGGCAATATGTCAACAACAACTTCCAGCTTTCAATCCATCAATCAGCTCCATTCTTTTAATTTGTATTATTGCCTAAATTTTATCTAAATACATGTTGAGTACAAAAACTGTGAGGCAGAGGTGTGTCACATATGGTTGGGGCAGGGCACGCAACCCAAGAGGACGGAGCAGAATTTCCCCAAACCAGCAAGGCAGTCGTGGACACAGACAGCACCATCTATGTTCCTAATACACGGATTTTTCTGCTTCCTGGTCACGAGATGTGTGACGTACACTTATGAAGATCAGTTTCAGAGCTGAGATACTTGTTCTCACAGTGTGGAGGCTCATTCCGACGCCCACACAGTAAAAAAATGCAAATGACGACTTAAGATTCAATGGCAGTTAATGAGTTAGAGCCAAGTCAATACTACGGGCTCTAACTAAACCTGTTGGTATGTGAGCTGATCTGAAACATGTGAAGGGACAGGGCTTGAAGGTTTCTGGAATAACTATGAAGAACCAGCGAGGATTTCTGTTAATCCCAATGGAGCAAGTGAAAAATGAATGTAAAACATCTCAGCAATACGTGAATAGGAGATCATGCAAAAGATGAATTACACTTTTCTAGGCTGCTGATACCTCTGTGTGAAAGCAGAAGTGTTAGATATGCTTAAATATCTGACGTTAAAAAACTAACATTTTATTTAAAAAGCAACTGAAGGTTTGTCAAACGTCATTTCCATTAACAGCTTTATGAAACAAGATGTGTTACTGCTGAGTAGAATGTTTTAGAGTGTGTGTGTGTGTTGGGGGGGCAGCCTACCGTTGTTAATCAGGACATGGAGAGGCAGCCCTCTGTCTCTGAACATCTGAACAAACGTGTGTACGGATTTCAGAGAGGTCAGGTCCAGGAAGACAAACTCGGCTTGAAGCAGAAACAAATACAGATGTCAATAACGAATAAGACATGGTTCTGAATTTCCTCGTAGCTCCACAGCTCTGATCCAGGATACAGAACAGGAGCGCGACTCTCCTGCTGCACATCTCTGATGTCCTGTTTTGATAAGTGCAGGAACCAGCAGAGACAGATTTGTAGACTTTACCTTTCCCTTCATTGGCAACTTCGTTTATCTTCCTGACAGCCACAGAGCCCTCTTCTCTTTGGTTCCCAGCTGGAGATGATGAAGATCACAGAGAGGCTCAGTGGGAGGATGTTCAGCTGCTGGTACACCGACTCATCAGATTCTGATGTACTGATAAACATTAGACTTTCATATATTAGATTCATGACACACAATTGAAGTAGTTCAAGCCTTTTATTGTTTCTAATATTGATGATTTTGGCATACAGCTCATGAAAACCCAAAATTCCTATCTCAAAAAATTAGCATATCATGAAAAGGTTCTCTAACCGAGCTATTAACCTAATCATCTGAATCAGCTAATTAACTCTAAACACCTGCAAAAGATTCCTGAGGCTTTTAAAAACTCCCAGCCTGGTTCATTATACAAAACCACAATCATGGGTAAGACTGCCAAACTGACTGCTGTCCAGAAGGCCATCATTGACACCCTCAAGCAAGATCTTAAGACACAGAAAGACATTTCTGAATGAATAGGCTGTTCCCAGAGTGCTGTATCAAGGCACCTCAGTGGGAAGTCTGTGGGAAGGAAAAAGTGTGGCAGAAAACGCTGCACAACGAGAAGAGGTGACCGGACCCTGAGGAAGATTGTGGAGAAGGACTGATTCCAGACCTTGGGGGACCTGCGGAAGCAGTGGACTGAGTCTGGAGTAGAAACATCCAGAGCCACCGTGTACAGGCGTGTACAGGAAATGGGCTACAGGTGCCGCATTCCCCAGGTCAAGCCACTTTTGAACTAGAAACAGTAGCAGAAGCGCCTGACCTGGGCTACAGAGAAGCAGCACTGGACTGTTGCTCAGTGGTCCAAAGTACTTTTTTCGGATGAAAGCAAATTTTGCATGTCATTCGGAAATCAAGGTGCCAGAGTCTGGGGGAAGACTGGGCAGAGGGAAATGCCAAAATGCCTGAAGTCCAGTGTCAAGTACCCGCAGTCAGTGATGGTCTGGGGTGCCATGTCAGCTGCTGGTGTTGGTCCACTGTGTTTTATCAAGGACAGGGTCAATGCAGCTAGCTATCAGGAGATTTTGGAGCACTTCATGCTTCCATCTGCTGAAAAGCTTTATAGAGATGAGGATTTCATTTTTCAGCACGACCTGGCACCTGCTCACAGTGCCAAAACCACTGGTATATGGTTTACTGACCATGGTATTACTGTGCTCCATTGGCGTGCCAACTCTCCTGACCTGAACCCCATAGAGAATCTGTGGGATATTGTGAAGAGAAAGTTGAGAGAAGCAAGACCCAACACTCTGGATGAGCTTAAGGCCGCTATCGAAGCATCCTGGGCCTCCATAACACCTCAGCAGTGCCACAGGCTGATTGCTTCCATGCCACGCCACATTAAAGCAGTCATTTCAGCAAAAGGATTCCTGACCAAGTATTGAATGCAAAACTGAACATAATTATTTGAAGGTTGACTTTTTTTGTGTAAAAAACACTTTTCTTTTATTGGTCGGATGAAATATGCAAATTTTTTGAGATAAGAATTTTGGGTTTTCATGAGCTGTATGCCAAAAAATATAAGAAACAATAAAAGGCTTGAACTACTTCAGTTGCGTGCAATGAATGTAATATATATGAAAGTCTAATGTTTATCAATACATTACAGACAATAATGAACTTTGTCACAATATGCTAATTTTTTTAGGACCTGTGTTATTAAATATGCTTATATTAGAGCAGTGTGTTGCATTACTATATCAAATTTATTTCTATATTATAGTAATGTAGGGTAATGTTGGGTTTTCATGAGCTGTATGCCAAAATCATCAATATTAGAAACAATAAAAGGCTTGAACTACTTCAGTTGTGTGTAATGAATCTAATATATATGAAAGTCTAATGTTTATCAGTACATTACAGACAATAATGTACTTAATCACAATATGCACATTTTTTGAGAAGGACCTGTATATTGAAAATACTGCTGGTGAGATTTTTCAGGTGTCTGAACAACCTACCTATGATAACATGCATGCCAAGGCTGGACAAATGTCTGGCCGTCTCAAAACCCATTCCTCTGGTTCCCCCGGTCACTATGGCAACTCTTCCATTTAGTTTGGGTAAGACTGAACAGAGATCAGAAAAAAGTGTTTGGTTTTCTTTAGTAAAGTAAGAAAATATCTATATGGCATTATATCATGATATTTTTTTCCTGTGATATTATATCGATATTCAAAAGCTGTGTATCAAATTTTTGGAAGAATTTACATGCAAACTAGGGATGCTCCGATCCGATCACGTGATCGGAAATCGGGCCCGATCACGTGACTTTTAAAAGATCGGAATCGGGTGTTAAAGATCGGATTTAACCTTATAAAACAACAAGCATGACATTTTTAATCAATCTTGAGTTTCAAATTGAATAACAATGGCATAATTTTGTACCAAGTTTCACTTCCTCAATAGCGACATGACAACACCATACGGCAGCCGTAACGTCACACGTTTTAAAGCGGACCGTGGAATTCAGGCAGCAGTTAGCTAGCAGGTTAATGCTCGTCTCGCTCCAGGAGAGCAAAAAATGTCAGCGGTTTGGAATCATTTTAAACTGCACTTTATTTGGGAGCCGTAAAGTAAAAGTTGAGCTCCATGTAGAGCACATGGAAGAGGTGATTTACCAGTTCTTTGCAATTTGATGTTGATGTTTTATACTTGAATGGTGAAGTTCGTACACCACTTTGATTAGGCATATCTTTTGTTCGTTTTAATAAACTAGTCAGTCAAAGGCCTAAGATGTATTTTATTTTGTTACCTGACTAAATTATGCAACTACCTCTTAGAGGTGGAGGTAAGCACTTTAATTTAACTTCTATTATTGTGTTGAGTTATTTTACAAACCTTTTCTACTTTTCTATAAAAACAAATTTGTTTACATATTGTTGCACCACTGATAAGCTACAAAGATACAATTTTGTTTACTTGGTTTGAAGTGCTGCTGCACTAACAAAATGTTTCTACTTTCTTATGGTATCATGTTGGATGCAGTCATATAAATAATAATAATATTAATAATAATAAACCTAACAGGTCAATTTGGGTGCAGTCTCCCTTTTTTCTTGCTATTTTATTGTATTGCTGAAGTATCGGATCGGGACTCTGTATCGGCAGATACTCAAAATCAAATGACTCGGAATCGGATCGGGAGCAAAAAAATGTGATCGGAGCATCCCTAATGCAAACATTTGTGTATTTTCTTTTCTTTTGGTGTAATTCAAACGCTAGTTGTCAGCAGTGTGCAATGGGTTTTGTTTCCACCACTGAAATGTAAATCCCTCTATTACGATTCAGATTCCTCATGTTGAACATGTTAAGTATCCGTTTGGACTGTTAATTGAATTTTCCTACAATTATTTCAGTCAAAAAAAATTACACTAATAACATCTGGCCCAGTGTTTCCCAACCCTGGCCCTCAGCGCCCCCCTGTCTTGCATGTGTCCTATGTCACGATTTCCAACAGCGTTAGCTGTTTTTACAGGACCATAGCGTTTGCAAAATGGGATTTGCCGCAGCTCCCTGGGGAAAATTTTGGCATTTATAGTAGCAAAGCTGAAGCTAGAATAAACTGCCATCAGGCATCTCTCAAACCAAGACGGGATAAAGGGAGGTCGCTGGGCCTGGCTGAATGTATCGCAATATCGTCTCCCCGCCAGAATTTCACCAATACACATCCCTAGTTTTCTTTTGGAACAGGGCATATTCAGGGAAACTCAAAGTCATTTACAAGACTTTGAAAATCTAACAAATAATAAAGACTTCATTACTATACCCCTGTCAATAAACTTTTATTCCATTATTGTCCACTTTTCTGGGGTCGGGTCACAGGGGCAGCTCCTCCAGGGGAATCCCAAGGCATTCCCTGGACAGCCCTGAAACGTAGTCCTTCCATCATATCCTGGGTCTTCCCTTAGGTCTCCTCACAGTTGAATTTGCCCAGAAAACCTCAACAAGGAGGACAAGCTACCTCAAAAGGCTCCTCTCGATGTGGAGGAGAAGCAGATCTACTCCGAGCCCCTCCCGGATGACAGAGCTTCTCACCTTATCTCTCAAAGAGCCCAAACACCCTGCGGACAAAACTCTATTTAGCCGCTTGTATCTAGGATCTCGTTCTTTCGGGCACTACCCAAAGCTTGTGACCGTAGCTGAGTGTTGGAACATAGATCGACCAGTAAATCGAGAGCTTCACTTTCCACTCCCTGGGCCTTGCAACTGAGGAGCAGGTCTGACCGGCATCCTCCCTCACCATCGGAGCCCTGCCCCTCTCTCTACAATAGAAAATGTATACACTGTTTTAATATTGATTCGGTATCAGAACACAAAATAATGCTATATTTCAGTGCATCAATATTGTCATAAATCTTTTGATTTACATGCTAACATCAGTGTGTCTCGCTCGCAACAAGTAACATTCAGTACGTGTGCAAAACCCAGATGCACATTTGTATGTCTGTGTACTTTATGCTGTGTCTTTCTGGAAACTCAACATTTCTATTTTTATTGACTGTTTTAATTGCTGAAGGTTACGATAATAGTCTGCTTCCTTTTGTATTTACCTGGATTACGTTTTCCAACTCTCTTAGTGTATGTGCTGCCTGTAAGTTAATTTCCCCACTGAGGGATGAATAAAGTCTATTCTATTCTTATATTGATGTAATATAGGTAAATATCGGTCATCGGATATAACAGCAATATTAATATTGGACAACGATATCGGCTCACATTTTCATATCATGCATCCCTAATGACTTCAATCTTGACTAACGGGGCTGCCTTACTTAAAGGACGGAACTGGGCTTCAGACTTCCACTAAATAAAATAAGTCTCATGAAATAACCACATTTTTCTCCTAAAGGTTTATAATATTTATTCATACCGTACATAACCCCTCCCCTTCAGGGCATGTGCTACGGAAAATCTAAACTTTTTTGGGGTTTAACCTTTGACCTGTATGATTTCACCAAACCACAAAACACACGCTCCTACATCATGAGCCAGTCACGTTATTTTGGTTAGCAGCTAGAAAATCCCACTGCTTCTATTAGGCAGCTGGCATTCTTGGATGGATTGTGAGAGCAGCAACCCTAAAACAGTCCTGCCTTTGTTTCTCTGGGACCAGTAAACAGATTTCTCTAAGAAACACCTCAGGCATTCAGCAGGATGAGATTTTCTCTTCTTTTTTATTACTAGATAGCAGAAAAAATGAAAGATCTGATTTTAATCAGCAGAAGCGTAGAAAACTCAAATACTGTTTTAATGAGCTGTACTTCCTGCTGAGGTTTGTTCAATTCTTATTCTGTTCAAACATGTAAAGCAGCAAAAATCTTTACTCTCCTGTTTATGCCAACATCTACAACGCTGTAAAATCCACTGTAAAGAGTACGTGACACTACGGACCTACAGCAGCGGACCTGGTTATTAATTATTTGTGCTGACATCAAGTACATAGAAGAGGTTTGCAATGTTAATGGTTTATAAACAAGACTGACACTTATTACTTCTGAGTGTTTTTGAAAACAATGAACACAAAAAACTAAATTCTATGTGATTTTAATAAGCATTCTTATTAAGTCAAGTCAAGTCAAGTTTATTTATATAGCTCCAAATGACGACAAGAGTTGTCCCAAGGCACTTCACATAATAAACATTCCAATTCACAGTTCATTAAGCCAATCAGAAATATTATTATTAAGGTCTTTAATTATGTAAAATATTGAGACAGAAAGCTTAAAGTTCTACTTCAGTACTAGGCGTCAATAAAAAGGCATTAATACTTTGTGTATATATAGTTAAACATAGTAAATTTGGCCTTTACTAACTAGTCTCTATAGGTTTAGATGCCCATGTTGTGCTGAGATGTGTCCCCCGCTGTTTATCTGTGTGTATGAATAAATGTATGTTTATGCATAGGAAACTGATGACCAGCAGGAACAGGATACGTGTTATTGTTTCTACCTGATTCCTCTAAATGAATCTTTTTGCTCTTTTCATTTTAATATATCCCGGTAAAGAAAATCAACTCTAATCAAACGTTAAAACTTAGAACTGAGAGTGAGGAGAGAACTGAGCTCAACTAGTAAACTAGAATGATGGTAAGAAACGTCCAGCCACTAAACTACTGCGTGAATTTTAATACTTCTCAGATGGTTTTATTAAACACTCCGAACCGATCACATCAACTCCGACCCTGGAGTGACGTTCGGGTCAAAATTCAAACGTAAACCGAACAGAACCTGACCTGGCAGCGGGAAGGAGCGGTGGAACAGCTGATATACCAGAACTTTGAAACCGCACAAATACAGCCTGATGAGAGGCAGCAGAACCGCGAGCAGCCACATCCTCCGACACCAGCACGCGCGGCGGCGCTTACTGAGTTCAGCTCACAGCATTGTCGGCGGTTCCGCCCACCCGGGGACCGCCCGCAGAATCAGACCTTCACACCTCCCGTTTCAGACCGCTACTGTTTTAGAGACAGCGACCTCTAACGGATGGGCGTTGAACTGCAGCTGCAGATAGCCCTTAGCGCGTGTGTAAAGGCAGGAGCAGAGCCAAGGGTTTTCCAGCTGTTGCTTTACAGTTGCTTAACCTCCGGGGACCCAAACTTGTATTTGGTTTGATTTAAAAGAAAAAAACATATCTAGCTATTACAGATTAGTCGACTGTAATTAACAGAAATAAAGTTACAAAAATTTAAATTCTATTAAAATTGGTTAAATAAAAATGTTGTCAAATATCCTTAAAAAAAGAAAGACAACAGCAATTATTTTTAAATTCAAGTCAACATCAAGTGTCTATAAATAATAACAAAAAAGGTCTAAGAAGAAGAGAATAAGATTTTTAAGTGCAAGGAGCCAATGTCCACGTATATTGCAAAAGGTTGTGGCTAAACAGCTCACAGCTCTTGATGAGCATAACATCTATGATTGATTCCAGTCAGGTTTTCATAGAGCTCATTCTATTGAAACAGCGCTTCTTACAGTCTCTGATGACCTTCTGACCCACAGTGATGCAGTGGACCGTTCTGTTCTGGTCCTGCTGGACCTGACTGCAGGCTTTGACACTGTTGACCATCACCTGCTATTGGAGAGGCTGAAAGTCTTGGTAGGCCTATCAGGATCTGCTCTGGAGTGGATGTCCTCCTATCTGTCTGAGAGTTCTTTCTCTGTGGTCGTCTTCAAGTTTAGGTCCTCCACCACCATCCTTACTCCATGGTGCCCCACCAAGTTCCGTGCTGGGGCCTCTGCTCTTCCTCCTCTATCTGCTTCCTCTTCAGCACATCCTGAGCTCATTTAACAGAATCTCCTACCATCTTCATGCAGATGACATCCAACTGTACATCCCCTTTAAGCCCCTGAGACGTCTACATTGCAGCTGTTACACACCTGCTTAGACCTGCTGTGGTGGCTGCTGGCTGGTTCTTGGTGATGTTTCAGCATGGAGGTCTCACACTCACACACCTGCATTAACACAAGCATGTGCTTGTTGATGTGTGTTGTTCATGTTCATCCCACAAGTGTTTTTGTTGATAGTTTTGAATGTTTCTTTACAGGTGTGGTAGCTTGTTTTCTTATTTATTCAGTCTTTAAACATTTGTCCCCTTGCAGGCCTCTTTTTATCCAGATTTATCCAGCACTTTTGTGCTAATTTGTCAAAACTTAATCCAAATATTTAAAGAACACTATTTCCTACTTAAGGGGAACCTCATACACCAAGGGTTCCTCTTGTAAGATACAATCTGGACAGCACATTCTGGCAGAAAGACTACCATTTTTCTGTCATGTTGCTTTACATAACAAGTTTATTTATTCTTTATTTAAACAGGAAGGTCCCATTGAGGTTAAAAATCTCATTTTCAAGGGAGTCCTGGCCAAGAGGCAGCAAAAGTTACAGTTACAAATGTTTCTGTTACACAGACTGTTATGTACAAAATTACAGAAGGCTGTTACAACACAGGGAATCTGTCTCAATGGTTCTTGTCTGGTTTTAAATATATTCAAGGGGATAAACTCAGTTAATTTCCTGTTTTCCTGCAGCCTGTTCCATGCAGAAGGAGCAAAGTGAACGAAAGCCAATTTGCCCAGGTCGGTAGTGTTGCGTTGGTAAATTTCTTTAAGAGCTTAATATATTTATTACCTCTACTTATGACCAATAAGCTGCAATACTCTATATAAATATAGAACATCAACCTGCTTGGTCTCAGGATGTTTAATCAGAAGATTCTAGGATTCGTTATTCATTAGGGGATTGTACACACTTCGTTTTGATTCAAGAAACAGTCAGGTGTAAAACAAAATACGAATTTATTTTACAAACAATTAAAACTTGACGAATTGGTTAAACTATTCTTTACTGTGAGTGGATGGAACTAAAGGGTGGTGTCCGGAACTTATGTGTAAATATAATGTAGCCAGAACTTCCGTACCTCAGAGAGCTGAGTTCTGGGCGTAAAAGAATTTGGTTTGCGTTAAGCTACGAGTTGATTATTATCGAAACCACATCCAGACGCTATCTGTGTGTCTACATTACCCAGATTCAGAGACCCTCTTGGTGGATCCGAAAGTGAGAGGGGTCGGATGACTGCTGGCACCGGAGGGCTGTAGAGTACCGTGGTACCGATCCTTTCGGTCCAGAGATGTCTCGGGTCACGACAGATGGATGAAACCGAGCGTCTGGCGGATCATCTTGTTGTATCAGCTTCGCAGGTGCGAAAAAAGTTTTAAAGGTTTTGACGACGTGTCAAAATCTTTGATGGTTAAAGAGGTTTTGCTACAGATGGCCGGTCTGAAGCTTTCACTAGAACTCTCGAACTGAAGAAAAACCAGAGCGATCTAGTTTTAATGTATTGATGTTATGAAATGGGTAGCCAACCAAAAGTTGACAAGTTTGAGGAATATTACCAAGAATCTCAGAAACACGCCTTCTTTGATTCGGAGGCTCTGAACTGGGTAAAAGGTTAACCACGTGTCATGGACTTAAACTTTACCTTACTTTGCTTGTGTGAGTGCAAATGTTATGACCACGTCAAGTAAACATGCTAAACAATCATTAAGCACAGATTAATAAAACATCTCATTATTATAATTATTATACGTAGCAATAAACAAATGCTTATTCAATGATCATCAAGCTTGTAAATTCATAGAGGAAGTTCATATTGATTTAATAAATCATTCTTGTATTTAGCAACTGATTCGAGCTAGAGTTGTTTCTTCTGTGAAGGCAGAGATGGGACCTTGGGAAAGAAAGTTATTGTTTATCTTTTCATTATCTCTGTCAGAACTGCAGGCTCTGACTCCAGCTGGTGTGAGGAAGGCAGGCTGATTTAAAGGGACTACGTGCAGTCTCGTGTCTCCTTTTTGACCAGATGTTGAATGGTCAAACAGTACCTAAACTGACCATTGCTGGATGTTACAGTGGAACACAAAGTTAATGTTTATATAAGGTATAATGTTTATATGATAATATGTTATTTTATGATAATATGTTCACCCAACCAATCTACATGCATTTTGTGAATCTGGAGAAGGCATTTGACTGCGTCCCTCAGGGGCCCTTTGGGTGGAGTATGGGGTACCAGGCACTCTCAGGGTCCCTCTTTATCCATGGTCAGAGCTTGGTCTTCATTGCCGACAGTAAGTTGGGCTCGTCCCCAGTGAGAGTTGGACTCCACCCTTTGTCACTGATTCTGTTCATAACTTTTATGGACAGGCTTTCTATGCACAGCCAAGGTGTTGAAGGGATTTGTTTTGGTGACCTGAGGATCGAGTCTTTCCTTTTTGCAGATGATGAGGTCCTGTTGGCTTCATCAGGGGCCTCGGAGTAGACCCACTTCTCCTCCACGTCGAGAGGAGCTAGTTGAGGTGGCTTGGTCATCCGGTCAGGATGCTTCCTGGACACCTCCCTGGTGAAGTTTTCTGGGCATGTCCAACTGGGAGGAGACTGTAGCATCCAGAAATGGTAATTTTTCATCTACAGTTTGACCTCTTCAGTATCCGGTCAGCTACAGACATAAGTCTGCATCTGGTGCCTTTAATCTTCCAAGCTGCAAGAAAGATTCTACAGTGCTGTGTTGATACTTAGATTGTCAACATCATGTTACTTCCTCAAGGACGCTCTGCCGAGCTGCGTCTTATCGATACCTTGGTTCACAGAACAAAAGATGAACTTTTATAATTAAATCATATAATGAAATGAACAATATGAGTTAATTAATCATATAATGAATAGACAAGGTGTTAAATGAAATGTTGTGATTAATCTGTGCTTACGTTAATAAGGTTGATTAATCTGTGCTTAAATTAATATGGATGACATGGTTGTGTCTTGCAATGACCCATATATTTAATCAGTGTACGTGACTGGACATGCTCACACACTCACCATATCTCCATGATGCAAGTTAAAGCAATTGCATGCATATAGATATTTTCTCATCCACAAATCAGAGCATCTTTTCTCTGAGGAAGGTGTGGTTTCTGAGGTTTGTTGGCAAAACCTCCTTAACAAGTCAAATTCTGATTTGTTAGTAAATCATAACATAGGATTTAATAAAACTAAAATCCCTTCCCCAGTTGATTCAGTTTGAGCAGAGCTCCGGACTGGCCAACCCGGAAGGAAACTCTTTGAACCACCGCATCTTTTGACGAGCCGTCAAAGCTGTTGCACGCCGCAGCTGACACAGCAAACGGTTGCTTCAGAACAAAGCTGACACAGCTCTGACTCCTTCAGGGTCCATTCTTATACGCAACCAACCTTCATGCTGTTGTGATCCGGGAGACGACTCTGGACTAATTTGGGCCCATTGTGGTTAATCTACAAACTTCAGTGCCTTGGGGTGTCCCCCCCCCTTCGTGTCATGTCTACGTACCCAAGATAAGGATAAGGGTATGTAGACATGACACGATTGCGTCTGATGCCGTTTTATTACAAATCAACTTTCTAGTTTAATGCATACCACATTCAATCATACTCAGAGCTTTATTTCTTCCAGATATGACAGTTCTGATAAACATCACATTACACTACATCATACGCTCATCACATCATTGTTTTCTAGCTGTCATGTCTTATAATTCGTTCAGAAAATAAATTTCTTACTTTTTATAAACTTGACTTTGTCTGAATTAATACGAAGTGTTCTTACGGTCCCTGAATAAACAAAGAATCCTAATTCTGCTGGTTAAAGTAACACTTTAAGAACAATCAGGTTGGATTTCCACATTTATATAGAAATTCACTTCTTATTGGTCAAATGTAGTATAGTATATTGAGCTTTAAAACCACCCAAAATACATATGTAGACTAACACTACAAGATCCAAGGGAAGACCCAGGACACGATGGAAAGACTATGTCTCTCACCTGACCAGGAAACGCCTTGGGATTCTCCCGGAAGAGCTGGCCCAAGTGGCTGGGGAGAGGGAAGACCACATAGCTTTAAATTCCCCCAGGAGAATGACGGAGTCACCAGAAG